ACAGACGGCCAACAGCAGAACGTTATGGTCTATACAACATCATACCAACAGGTACCGCATCCCATCCCTTACTCTCCCTTCTGCTGCTGAAATGCAAACGATAGTTCAGCTGCCCTGTTCTGAAAGGTGGTAACGAGTTTTCTGTAGTCCTTTGGTGGTGGCTGTCGTGACATTCCAACACTGTGGCAGTTCAAGGCTGCTGGCTGCGATGCGGTTACAGAAAAGGCGCATTTGAATGTGAGCTTGCGTTTTCTTTCTCTAGATCTCTGGTGTTCAACAAATTCAGTTCTCATGATTTGAAGATGACTTTGGATCTGGGAACACGAGACGGAAAAGCTGTGCAACTCTAACGAAGAGGCAGTTTTAATGACTGGTGAAGAGATTTATCTCTTTGTATATTAAATAGCTGTAATGTAGCTACCTGAAGCTTGACTAACTGAGGTGTGAGTTCTGACTCAAATCTTTTTCATGATGATTTTAAAAAAAGAAAAAAAATTGGATTTTAAAGGTATTAAAGTATTTTTGTTTTGTACAAGAGTTTGTTGCTCTGTATAACTCCTGTATGCATTGTATATTGCAATTTATTACTGTCAGAGATTTGTAGGCATTTTCTTATTTTCATATTGAATCATGTTACTTTTGTAATTCAGGTAAACAGCTGGGTTAATTCATGTTTACCCTTTGAATAAAATTGTAAGGGTAAAGTTCATTTTTGAATGCAAGTTGCCTTTATTATAAAGATTGAGTTGGTCTTGGTTATGTAACTTGTCCTGCATGACAACCTCAACTAACTTTACATGTCAGCATATTTATTGAAATTTTGAAAGGGACTTTTTCCTCATGAAACTAGCAGCTCAAAAGAATTGCTACAACTGTGGTTTTTTAATGTAACTTCAGAATTAAAAGTGAATCAAAAACAACCAATGCTCTACTACATTTAGAGACTTAATCAGCAGTGTTGATGAGAACACTGACTGTGTGCAACGCAGGTCTTCATTTCGTTTTTTTACAGTTGCGTTAACTCTCCTTCGACTTACTTTGATGTATTTGAGGTAGTCTTTCTGCTACTGAAATAACTCTTCCTTTTTATGTGTGGTTTTTAGAATGCAAAACTTGGAAATTCAAGGAAGGGGGGTGGGGGGGTGGAATTTATAGTCCTTGTGGTAAGAGATCACATTTTAACTTTTTACTAAAATGTTTTAAGGTTTCTTGTGAGACTCTGGGAACTCAGATGTGTTAGCGACTCTGTGTCCAGGCTGCGTGTGTGCGTGCGTGTGCGAGTGACTGAGACTGGAACGAGCGACATGAATCTGAAATGGAAGACAGACTTCTAGTTTGTTGTCTGGTTACAGGTTTTGCAATAAAGTCTGCCTAGGTAATGTAGTTCTGTAGATTTAGTGAGCTGTTCTTAGTAACATTGCTGTTTCTTTAAAAACTGGGTGGGTAATTTTGTAAGATGCAGTGTCTTAGCCTGTTAGGACGGGGTGGTGGTTTCAGTAATATATCTTAGTTAGACGGAATTTTGGGACCTTTGGTATTTTTACTGTTTGCAGTGGACTGAAATGTAATATACTACTTATCTTTCCACATACTTGTCATTAATTTAAGCAAACCACACCTTGAATCTGTTGCCATATAATTTCTTGCTGGTTTTGTCCTTTTTTTTTTTTTTTTTTTTTTTTTTTTTTTTTTAAGTAACACTTTAATATTGGGAATATAGCTTAAACTAAGACATCCTGGAAGCCTGAAATAGCCAGTTCTTTGCTAAACAAAAGTTTATGTCTGCAGATTTGAACAGTGTTTGTTACAAATCGGCATCATGCTGGCAGAGCCCCCGGGGGCGATCCAGTGTGTTTCGTGGCGATCTGGGCAGATGTTCTGGGTTTTGTGCCAGTCTGTCAATCTTCAGCAGCTATGACTGAACAAATGGAGTTTTTCATTAAATGTACAAATGAATAACACCATCGCTACATGAGCCCCTTCTGTTTGTATTCCGTTTATTTCAGGCCGTCATACCCTCTTCTTGAAGTTCCCAAATTTGCAATGGAAAAAGCTGTGATCACAGCTAAGCAGAAGCTAGGAGAGGTTGGGCAGCTGCATGTGCAGAAGGGGGGCCAAAGTCATGTCCCGCTTGATACCAGCTGTATTTTTCAATCTGCTGTCTCTTCTGTGAGTTTAGGTTAAAGTGTTGCGAGTTTGAGGTTTACACACCGTTGTATGAGCAAAAGAGCTGATACTGCTTTGGGTTTCTTTGTTTTGTTTTGGGTTTTTTTCTTCTCCCTCTCTTCCCTGAGGTCCAGGGACAAAACTGCACCCAACTTGCTCGCTCACTCCCTGAAAATATAGTGCAACATTTTGTTTATCTCTCTGAAACCGCTCACCTAATAAAGTTTGCAGGGTACCGTCACACTGGTAAAACAAATGTGGCCTGAGGAAATACTTAATTTATATCAGTAGTAGCACAGCCACTGTGGAGTCTTTATTTTTGTTTAACGACCGATACATGTTCTCACCTTTCTGTTTGTAAGTACTTGAAGTTTAAAAGTAGCTCAGAGCCAAACCAAGAGTGAGCATTCCGGCCGTATCCCAGCTGCTCCTACAAAACTGCCCTCTCTGGTTCTCAGCCTGTTTTGTTGAAGGAGCATAGCCCCAAAGTGGGCTTGAGCTCGAGACAGCCACGGCAGCCTGTGCTAAAGCTTGGAGAAGGGCTGCTTGAAATAGCAGTGATGTTCAAAGATCTTTTTCCAAGAATGGTAATTTTTTTTTTTTTAGGTGTCTTTCCGTGACACAAGCAAATTGTACTATGTTAGTTTTTTTTAATGAATTTCTGTGTGACTTGATCCTTCTGATCTTTCTTTATAGAGTGCTTGTGGTGTCTTTGAAGGCACAGAAATACTCTCTAGTTAAAATGCAGTTATGAGGAAAGCTAATTTAGATGGCGTTCTTCAACATCCCATTTTCATTACGGGCTTAATGGGAGCTGAGGCTCTGCCTTTACCAGTCTCGCTGATGTACGTCTGCATCTTTACTGTTTTATTTATTCCTCCGCTGTGATTGCTACTGCACAGTAAAACACGTGGCTGGAGGGTGCAGCCAGAACACAGCAAGAGGCTTGGCATGAGGCGGTCCGTCCTAAATACCTCCTGACCCACGCTTATCTGCCCGTGGCGAAAAATCAGCCTGCGTTCTGTGGGCTATAGGCAGCTGTCCTCCTTGCACTGCACCCTGGGTGCACCGTGCATCCTGCCAGGCGAGTAGAGGGTCCCTACTGCAGAGTTTCAAGATGATGCTCGTTAACATGTTGTAAACATCGATTCGTGATTTCTCCCTTGCCTTTGGCAGGAGAGGAAGCGTATGGGCAACTGCAAGCACGCAGGAGCTGCCTCAATGCAAAGCAACACGGAGAGCCAAGGGCCAGTATTTCCCCAGCAGCTAGCACTCATAATAAGAGCTGGCAGCAGCCTTGCTTATAGCTATAAAATTCTTCATTTTGCAGAGCTTTAAATGTGATTAATGTTCTGGTTAAGTCACATAGACTCGCTGCTTCAGTTCCATTCACAGTGATAAGACAACTTGCTTTTAAGTCGCTGCATTCCCGAGTGGTGCAGGCAAGGCTTTTTTCAGTCTTGATTTGTACCGAGCAAAGCAGAAGGAAGTTTTTCACTTAAATTTGAAGTGCATTTTCTCATGTTTATAGAGGAACACCCCCCCTCCACGCCCTGTGTGTAGATTCTAAGATGAATAACCCTATAGGGAAACTACACTGTATGTAGGGCCCAAGCAGTCCGAGAGGAAGAAGTTAAATATTGATAATGTGGACAGTGGTGGTTATTCTCATATTTCCCTTTCAAGCTGGTTTGGTGAAAAGAGCAGCGGGGGAAGGATGCTGTTTGGCTGCGGTACAGTTTAAGACGTGCACCTAGTCGAAAACACAGACCAGTTTCTCCTCTTTGAAAATTAAGAGACATTGTTCTGGCATAATCATTCACACTTCCACCCTTTAAAAGGCTGAAGAAATTATATTGAAGCAACGGAATATTGATCTGTTTACCTATTGATTTGTGAAGCGGGCGTGATAATGGACTGCAATGTCACCTCTGCCCCTCGGTATGTAAAAATCTAATGGAAAGCTCTCTGGAAACTTGCGGTGACATCCAAGGCCAAAGGCTCCAGGGAGTGAGGGCGGTTTGCTCCTGTGCAGAACAGTTTCCAGCCTGGTGGCAGCTGCGCTGCATTTATTAAATTGCCATCTCCAAGTGTGGCTGCGGGGGCAGGGGAGAGGCGAGGCAGCAGGGGAGAGGCGAGGCAGCAGGGGAGAGGCGAGGCAGCGCGGCAGCTCGGAGGGGGTCAGCTACACTGGTTCAGGAGATCTTCCAGGCAAATCGCCAGGGTCATTTCCCAGAGTATCTTATTGCAGCACACAGCCAGAGGGTCCGTTTGTCAGCAGCAGTGGCACCTGGTCGGCTTCTGTACAAAGGAAAACTATCGAGGGTTTAAGCAGAGCATCCTTCAGGCTGCTGATCGAATCTGCGTCTGCCTCGTGCTCCGTCTGGCCCAGCCCGCGCACAGCCAGAGACCGCAGCCGACTTCTTTAGGACAGAGCTGCCTGACAGGGTTTGGTTTCTGGCTAACAGACCACAGCACTGTGTGGCTCCAGGCTCAGCCCCAGAAGGCACATCGACGACAGCGCACTGCACACAGGGTTCTGGCAGCAATTTATTCCTGGTCAGAATCAGCTCGGATTTTTGGTCCTGTTCAGGGCGCAGCATGTGTCCTCCCGCACCGTTGGGGCAACAGTGGCTAAAGCACTGCCCTGCTGCTCCAAAACTGCTGTCACTGTGTGGCTTCTCTGTGCACAAGAAAATAACCAGAAGGGGTTGTGCCACCTCAAAGTGGTTCCCTGCCCTGCCTCAGTCCACAGCTCTCCCCAAACTGGGGGTAGAGGATGGGCCCAGCCGCTGGTTGTAGCTTGCCCAGTGGCAACTACAGCAGAAAACTGATTTCTAGTTTCTAGAAAATGAATTGCTTCAGGTGCGTCTTTAGCATGGCAGAAGTGAGAGGCGAAACCACAGAAGACCCTTTTTTAAACCAACAGAATAATTTGGTAAGTAAGGGCAGGGACACAACTGCTGCGATGAGGGCATCTCCCACCCCAAAGGCCACAGGACTGGAGACAGCAAACACAAACAACTTCCAGCTGCACAGCTGAGACTCACAGTTCAGCTATAAATGCCATCTCACTCGAAATACCACTGCAGCTCAAACAAGGTCACCACTATGCAACAGCAAGTCAGGAGGAGTATATACTATTTTTACTCTGTGCAATGTAACACACCGGGAAGAGTCATCGGGGAGCAGGAGGCTGCCTGGAGCCAGCCGGCAGGAAGAGCTGCGCGCTGAGGGAGAAGGGAGAGGATCCGGCCTCTCGCCTGCAGCCTGCTGGGGAGCATTTCTGCCGCGGGGAAATGGGCTCCGTCACTTCGGGATGGCAACACGGAGACTGCAGGGCCTGGGGAGTGAGGCATCCGGGGTCAAGTCCACTCTCACTCCATTCAAAACCAGCAGCAATAGCCACATTTTGCAAACCAAGCAGCTGAAAGTGCTCCAAGGAGCTCCAAGGACTGGACGCAGTGAGATCAAGTTCTGCACCCACCGGAAAAAAGAATACTGGCAATAACTGGCAGCTCTGTGTTGGCTGGCTTGACAGCTCCCTGCTTCAGATGCCCCAGCAGCACCTTTCTGCAGCAAGGTCATCTTCCTAACCTTCTAACAGCAGCACAAATACAGGAACCTCACCTCGGTAACTAACCTTTGAAGAATAACTACGTACATAGCCTGCGTTTATACTGAGCCGTTTATGCTGTAACACAAGTAGGTGAAACCTCAAGCTCTTAGATTGAAATCTGAAGCCTTTTCTTCAAGACAGTTATTTCAGAGAGCTGCTCCCAGGCTCTGAGCACTTTCATTCCGGAGCAGACAGCATATAAAAGCAACATACAAAAGTCTCCTCCGTACTTAGGTGTGGGAGACGGGGAAAAGAGCAAATTGTGGCAATAAGCAGAGCGCTGAAGGAGACAAGAAAGGAGCATTCTCTTGCTAGAAACTGCAAGCGCGTGGATCACACAGAACCAGCAACTGCATTCGCTCGCTAGCGCGCAGTGGATCCGTGGATTGTTCAGAAGCTTGGTGGGAAAACTCGTGCAAGTAGCTGCCTTGTCGGGGTGGAAAGTTCCCAGGGGACGAGCGTCTGGGTAAAGGCGTATAAAGCACTGCCTGCAAAATAAACT